ATGACAACATACAACTTTTAGTATGTCGACTTGTCAAGATAATCTATCTCGCCATGTCGACATGATATGTATATTATGTCGACTTGACAACATAATTATCTTGACAAGTCGTCAAGTCGAATGGCACTTAGGTGCTTCCGTAGCATTTGGTGGATTAAGTCGCAAAACTTTAGCTTCGTTTGGTGGCACCATTTACTCTAGGTAGACGACGACCGGTTTCGTTACCCGTTGGTACATTTCTTACAAACATTCAGCCAAAGGCCAGTGAAAGTTGAGATGGCAGCCAGGTTTTTATCGATGTTTGCCATCCTTATGTGTGCCATCGTAAAGTCATGGTTTGCTGGAATTGCGTTTTAAATTAAATCTCCGAACTTCTGAAGCTGAGATATTCTATGAATGTAGGCTTGTAATGCAGGCTACAATTTAAAAACGGGTGGGACTCATTCAAAAATTCGAGGGGGTTCGCTAGAAAACAGGGGAGTTCGCTAGAAAAGGGGGGTTCGCCCGAACCATAAAAACTCCCCCTGGCTACGGGCCTGAATCCCATTCTGCGACATTAGAACTGCAAGTTCATCCGTTTTGTAATAAAGAGATCTTACATTAAGGTGTGCAAAGCAAATGCCTTTGTGTTGCATACGTACGTTTTCTGTGGATCCAGGTGCAGGGTGTGAATTAACATGACGCCAAGCATGAACTGAAGCTTGTATTTTTGTGCTATTTGTATTTAATTTAATTAATGAAATCAAACAATAATCCAACATTCACAACAAAAGAAAGTTTGTAGGATATGTTAGTATGTGTGTGTATTACTAATGCATATATCTGTTTTTGTATTTAAACAGTCTTTTATGAAAACTTTTGAATTAATTAACAGTGAACTAATGGATCATCTGTTTCCTAATGCTTACAGTATATGCCTATTGTTGTTATGCCTTTAATTTATAATACCAGAATTGTTTTTAGATCTAAAAATCACAGAAATATTGTTGATAAGTAAGTAAATTAAATTAAAATATGTCTTGAAACAATAATTCTAGTAATTGAGGAATATTTAAATTAAAGTGTGTATATCATATTTTTCTTTTAGAGGGGTCGAACTCGGCATTGTATGCACTTTTCGTTATTCCTGTCATGCTGTTGTGGATACTGATTCTGCTTTGTAAGTTGCTCAGTAATGGTTTCTAATGCAAGACTAATGTTTGCTATAATAAGGTTTGAATATACACCTACAGTAAATAAGAGGTCAGAATTTACTAGAAGACTTATCACTCTTACAGGATCCCAGTCAAAGAGTTGTTTAGTGCACACTGAGATTGGTAGAAATGTTCTATCAAAAGTCTAAAAATATACTGAAGTATATATTGGTGGTTCATTTGCATTCATACTTTTAGTATCCTTATTAGAATTCCTTGCACATAACTATTATTTCATACTTTACATTGTTGTTCCCAATGGAGGCACTGACATAAAACCTTAATGATGCCGCAAAGTACAACCATAAATTTGACGCTAGTTTGAACGGCACCCTTGCCTAATGGTTCTGGTGGTGAAAAGTCTTCTCAGATAAGGAATAAAAACTGTAGGCCCAGTGTACACAACTTGGCTCATGTACACTTTATTTAAAGAACCCAGTACATCTTTCACAATTTCTTTTGTACTGGTCCATACAGCTCCTGTTGTGGACAGATGAGAGTAACTGGTACATACTTTTTGACATTTTAGTTTGTAATTCTGTTAACTCTAAATCAGAATTAAGTTTGTTATTTAGATGAGTTTTCAGAACATTATTCACAATTTTTTTAAACTAAATTGTTTTTTGCAGACTTTATATTTTGCAGAAAAATTGAGATGAAAGGTGAAAATATGACAGCAGTAGAAGGCGACGTATCACTTGTAATGAGAAATAAATATCGTCCTAGTATTGCGCACTTTGAGACTTTCCAGTGGGACTTAAAAAGTAAAGAGAAAAACAAGGAGGAATGGAAAACACAAGCAATTGGTTTAGCTCCTAAGCTCGGCTTCATGTATATTCTCCGTTGCTGTTTCTACTTTTGTGGAATCTGTTGTATTGAATACAAAGAAAAATGTAAGTTACTTTACATTGATTGGCTATAGTAACTTTGTGAGCCATAGTAATTTCTTCAGCTGCCCCTGACCTGATAGAATTATTAGAATTATTCATTATATCTTTTCTGTATGTGTATTTTGATGGTCAATAAAATTAAATGAAGTGAAATGTTTTGGTGTTATCTGTAAATAGGTTTTCTATCTGAAGTGGTCATAACATGAGATTATTTCTTAACTAATTTTGTTGTCTCTATTTGCTTTCATGATTGTAGATGAAAATGGTGACTTGGGAAAGAAAAGTAAAAATAGGTTAGTTATTATATAGTATTCACTTCTCATCTTTTATTTTGGGTTTTTATTATATAATTTTCAGGTACAACAGAAAAAAACTTTGTATTTGTCCTATATTTAAGTATGTTTTTAAAAAATTGTTTTTGGTCATTTTTTAATTAATAAATTTTTATCTGTGTTAAATTATATTTATTATATTTGAAAGTTTGCAAAAATATTTGTCATAGAACTATTAAATTCCAACTAAAACTATGGCAGTACTTTTGTAGTCAGATGTTTAATGGACTATTCACTTACAAAGCCCTCACCACATTCACATATTAGACAAATGTGAATGTAGTCCGCAAGCAAACGTGCTTCATTCTAATAAAATTCATAACAAATAATTTGTGTTCAGTTCTTAGAAAGCAGCAAGCATGATTTATTGCATGGGCAGCCACTGATACAAAACACCAAACTCTTTGTCCTTGAACTAGCACTGAAACAACTAAACTTGATCAATTATTTAAACTTCAAAAAAGGGTTCTTCGTATTTGCTTTTTTTTAAAATTACCTTTCCCATTCAAACCTCTTTTTTTTCTATAAATTTAACACCTTAAACATTTTTGACGTAAATAAATTGCAATCTGCCATTTTCATGTATCGATATACAAACAACTCCCAAATACTTTTAAAGGATACTTTACAAAAAAATAATGAGCTATATAACTATGACACTAGAAACGCAAACAAGTATGTTAAAAAAAACTACAATAGAACCTTGACTCGAAATTCAATAATGCACACCGGTCCTCTGCTCTGGAACTCACTTGACACATCCATCTTAAGTCACAATACCACAAATTGTTTTAAATACAATTACAAATCACACCTTATATCTAAATATAAACACTCTTAATATCCTTAATCATAATTATTCTTTTAGTTATAGCCTAAACTCGTCAGCTTAATTACAAAATCCAATACCGTTACCCTTGTTTCTTAGTGTATGTGTTCTGTACTGTCCTTGTCCCATTAAGAATATAATGTTGTACTCTGTTCTTGTATTCTTGTGTGTTTTGTATGTGTACAGCATTCACTTTATTATCAAAACTTTTAATTTTCAAATTTTTACTGGTGGAACCAGGCTTAAAGCCCTCCTGGGCTTATCTGGCTTTCTCCAGACATATTTGCATTCCTATTTAATATAATCTATTTTATTCATTGTAATTCCTGATGATGCATTATGTGAATAAACTGAACTTGAACTTGATTTCAATGGGAGGATTGAAAGTAATAAAATATTTACTACTGTACTACATAATTTTAATTTCTTCCTGATAGAATTCTAGTGAAATTTCAAAAGTGAAAGTACAAGATATAATGTTATGCATTGTTTGGTTTTTATAAGTTTCACATGCACGAGTTGGTTTTGTAAAATAAAACTTTTGAAGATTTGATTTGATCTTTTTTTTGGTTGGTGTGCATTTTGAAAGTGTACTTCCAAATACATTAATGTTTAATTACACTATTTTATTATTATGATGATGATGATTATTATTATTATTATTATTATTATTATTATTATTATTATTATTATTATTATCTACACTACTATTATTATTGGTTCTTTGCTGTAAATCAATACGATACTTTGCAATGACGTGTTCATGTTTGTTGAAAATTTTTTAACAAGCAAACTTGAATTTCCAAGCATTTTTTTCCATTTATTTTTGCATACATGTAATATTTGGTCCTGTAATTGCACTCTACTGCTTGAAAACCCTTTTGAATAAATATTAAAGCAATACACAAGAACTTTATTACTCACCTACACCCAAGATTGAATGTTTGTTTTGATTTTTAAAAAATGCCATTGCTTGTTTGAGCTCTCCAATTAATGATTGGACTTTAAGGAATGTACAAAAATTGCAACAACTGTTATTTAAGGACACTAAAAAGTACCTATAACATTTCTACCTGAATGAATAATTTAAATGTATGTTTTGATCTCTGCTTAAAGAAAAGTCCTGGGTCCACCTCTTGGGGAAGGGATACAGAATCCTTCTTGGCGAGGATTAGCCAATCAATTTTGTCACAGAGTACTGGTCTTGAAAAACATTTTTGTAGTTTTAAAGTGCCATTTATGGGAATCTAGAAGTAAATCTTAGAATTTGTTCAAGTGTAATATTTTGCCAATGGCTGCGTAGGAACCTTGGCACCTGCAGAGGTCTGGTTTTCAAATATTGTGTCCATACAGATGTGTTGTATACCAATCAGTTGAAATGTTTATTCCAATTTTAAATTTTTCCTGTACAGTAGAGGAGGAATAATTAAATTCTTATCTTTTTTAGTGAGGGTAAACATTATGAGGGACTTGAGCTGGAAGAAAAAGACTGTGAAAGAGGAAATGCTGATGGTGAGGATCAGTGTGGTAACAATGACTCCAATGAAAAAGAGGCCTCTGTGAACGTATGTTATAATATGTTTTAATGTACATAACATTTAAGACAACAAGGTGTACAGTATTATAGGAATAATAATAATATTTATTTAGACTTTTGGAGGGAAAGGTACTTCCAAAACACAAAAAACAATACAAAATACTAAGTACCTTTCTTCCTTCTTCTCCCTAGCAATGAAATCATTTACCCTTCTCCTTTATAAAAATAAAACTATTAAAAATAAAAGTATAAATGGAGATGTAGCATATAGCAAGAGCATGGAATTTAATACCTCATCGCATATATTTTCTGGCTTTTTTTGTATACCTATTTACAAAACTTGCTGAGTAGCAACAGTATATCATTTTTTTCAAAGTCAATAGAGAATATCAACGAAGAAAGTAAACCACCGGCTTCCACCTTTCCTGATGAAAAAGGTAAACTTGATTCAATTTGTCCCAACTTCCATATTTCTCATTTCATTATGAACTAGTTTCATGTATTATGGCTTAAAGTATGCACTGAATAACAGGTAATTTAACTGCTCTTATTTGCTTATTTGTAGTAACTTAAAAATCATTAGACATGTAAAGTTTAAATGCAAATACATTTACTGACTGTACTAGACAGCATCATGCATATTTCTGCACCTGCTGCTTGACTTGTGAGAAACTTACAGATCTTTTGGTGTGCTTCCTCCACAGTTCACCTATAACTAAGTCTGTCTAGATCCCATTTGATTACATTTTCCATTTGTTTTAGGTCTTCCTGGTCTGTTTTCCATGTCTTGGCTTCCAATTGTATAATTTTTTGGGTAACATGGTTTACTTTGCATGCACATCAACATTTTCTGATAATGGATGTGCATTGCGGTTGTGTGTCTTTTGAAAGAGATTTCCATATCATATGGTGATCACTTTTTTTGTCTAAGGTCCATGTGGCCAGGGGCGGCGCCAGTAATTCCCCGAAGAGAGGTCCAAGCTCCCCGAAGAGGGGTCTAAGCTCCTCGACAGGGTCCACACCCAAGCGTTGTTCCCCCTGGCTAGGGGAAACATTTCATTGGTTGAGGGAATTTCTATATTGAAAAATAATACAATTTTGTGTTAATTAGGGGATATTTATTTAAAATTTGATAGAAAACCATGCAGGTTAAAGAGTCCCCCTATCTGGGGTCGGAGGTACCAGCACCCTGTAGGGGATCTGAAGAGCTGGCGCCACCACTGCAACCCATAAGATCGCATTAGTATACAACACCTCGCACGTATGGTAATCCCTAAACTTTGACGGCTTAAACTACATTTACATTAGACACGTTTATTAATACTGTATAGTAATTTTAATAATTGTGGTGATCAACATAAATGAAAATTTTGTGTGCTATTAAGAGAAGTGTGCTGATATAACATTTTTGTTAGGGAAGACTTTCGGCATTAGTTTACTGTACTACAATGCCTGTGATGGAAAAATGTAATTATTGTAAGCTATTTTATGTTGATGTTCTTTTCCTTTTTAAAATACAGTGTGACTTATAGTCAAGATTCAATGAAGTGCTACACATTCATATCTCACATTGTGTCAAAATAAACAATCCTTTTTGATTCTCTATCATAGCACTTAAAGACAATTACATTTTGAGTAATTAAGTTCATAACTTAATCATCTTGAGTTTTCAAAATTATTGACATTTATCATCTACATTAGTATATAATCTTTCATGTGACTTTTTTTTATCAAGGGGAACAAGATAACAGTTGTGAAACCGTAAGCATTCAATTTGTACAGTATGAGTTGTACAATTAATTTTATTTGTTTTGCATGATCAAAGCAAAAAAGTAGTCATTATTAATAATCAAGGATAAATAAGTACTGTATCTCAGAGGCAAAAATTAAAATGTTAATTTTGTGGTAACTGAAATTTCTATTTAGTCAACAGAACTTTTTTCTGCTTTATTCCTATAAGCAATATTCATAACCAATTTATTAAATGGATTTGTTTTTATTTCATTTTAGGTTATTACACAAATTAATACTTCATTTACAAGAAATAATAAAATCTGTGATTAAAATACTGATAAGAAACCTTTATATATAACAATAAATAATATTACTTCTATTTTGTGATTTCATATACATGGATAAACTAATTTCTAGTAGGAAACTTCATTAGCATTGCTTGAGTTGATGCATAAATTTTATCCATGACAAACTCTTTTTACAGAGTCAAATTACTTATGCTGATCTTAATCTCAGCCCATCTTCTCCATCACGAGTGATTTGTACAGATGAAACTACGTCCTACGCTGAAATAGATCATGGTAGAAAACTTGCTGGTGGTATAGCTCTATTCATAAAGATGCATGACAATGTTTCTGCTTAAGCTCATTTTTGCAATATATGTTTAATATTACAAAATTTGTAAATAACAAACTAAACATAAAAAATTGAATATTAATTAAATCCATTTATTTCAATCTTTTATTGCTATGAAATCTGTGAATGGCTATTACCTGCTATATAGCTTATGCACAAAAGTATGCAAAATAAAATACCAGTATGCCTAAAGGGACTATGCATCAAGGGGTAGGGACATTACTCCACTAATGTCCTAGTGCCTCGCATACCCCTCTCTAATTAAACTGTGTATCCAGGAATAGTGAGGTTACTTGAAAAGGGCCTAGTAACCAAACATACCATACTAATCAAACTATGCATCCAGAGGTGACGGAACTAGGGGGTGTTGTGTTATGGAGAATAATGTGTGACCGGAAATGGTCTGCAGTCAGTTGGTTGTTACCATGCGCCAGTGATGTTGGAGTATATAGTACAGCAATATGAAACTATTATGTAGGCCTAATGAATGAATAAAGTTCGGGGTTTGTCGGGTAGTGAAATGATTATTTCACATTTTAAGTGCTCCCTAAATTCATAAGTGTAAGCTAAATTACAGTGATTAATTTAAAAAGCGAAGATATGGAGACAATTATTTCAAATCCCTCTTTCCAAGAGGGGATGCAAATGCTTTATGAAAATGAGTACGCCGCGGTACTCATTTTCACAAAGAAATACACACAACTGGTTAGCTAACAATTATGTCAATGTTACATGAACACCTGGGAAGGAAGGTGCAATCATGTTGTTACCTAGCAAACGTCTGTACTGTAGGGGAGGGGCTGCTGATGTACTGTGTAGCGGGGGACGATGAGGCATCGGACTAGGCCTAGGCCTAACTAAGACAGTGGAATTATATGTGATAGAAAGTACACTTTCGGAAGAAATAAATTAAAATAAGAAAAAAAAAATAACTAAGAATAATTCATTTGCAGAGGTACCTTATTTAAGTATTATACAATGCTAACAATGCGGCTCTTGTAGCCCTGGCTTGGGCAGGGCACCCATGTGCAAAGCATTGGTGTTTGTTTATCCATGAAAAAAGCACGCCGGGAAAGTTTGCCTTACCAGGAAAAGGTGACATATCTAGCTTATGACGTATGCATGCTAACTAATGTGAGTGTGACGTCACCAAAAAATGAATATTTTCTATTATAAACAAAATATTAATATAACTACAAAGTTTCTGGGCATAAATTCCCTTAATATGAATGAAGGGTTGCTCAATCTCCTTGCCATACAAATTACAGCTCCCTCTGACGTCTCAGTTTTTCTCGCAAACCTGACTACAAAACCATATCCAAATTTCACGTTCCACTTTTGACCCTGGGTTGTGCTTCGCAACTTGCCGCTGAGGGCAGCGTTCCGGCAACCCTGCGTCCAGGGGTGGAGACGTTATTCCACTAACGTCCACTAAAGGCTTGAAATAAAAATCTTTGTTTTATTTCACTTCATTCATTCAAATCAATAATGATTTTAATTCAATTTGAAAATAATTCTCTTGCATTAAAAAATGAATATTTCAAAATATTTCTGCAGTTATGAAAAAAAATTATGTTAGATATTTTTTTTCAAGAACATAACCAGAGCAATAAAGTAAAGAAATTTAATACCACAATCCTGCGCCCACATATCCCAGCTGATTAAGACAACATTTTGTTGTGGGTCGCAAGCTGAGTGTGCAATAGTCTTTTATGAACACCTCAGTACCAAAAAAAAGCAAGACAACATTTAACTGATATATTAATAAATATATATAATATAAAAATATATACACATGGAATTAAACAAGGTGGTGATGTATGGGCTTGTTTGCCATTAGCCGATTAAGATTAGCTGGAAGTAGACAAATGTAAGAAGAGGAAAGTTGGAAAGATACTGTCCAGGGAGCTCTTATCTGTCCAGGATAAATATCCTTGTGTTGAAATAGACATAATATGAAAAATGTGAATCTACTCCGCAGCTCAAATCAGTCTCAGGATTAGTTAGATTATTGTTTTTTTTGCTTAAAAAAATCTATCAGAAGATATTGTTTTAAAAAATGAATAAACACTGAGGAGCACGTATTCAAACTGGGCGCTTAAGACAATTTTCACGTTAGGAGGGGCTTTTATTCGAGAGGAGCGCTTATTCAAACTGGGCGAGTACGGTATATGTAATATATGTATTATGTATGGCAATAATAATTGAATCTTGAATCTTGAATTAAGTCTACTGAAAAAAGGCCCTGAGTTGCTTATGATTTGTGCTTTCCTGGACAGATAGTGTGTATAACTAGTGCCACTTATTTTCCATATTTTTTTCTATTGCCTCAACTACAGTGCACTCTCCAATTCAAGACCCCTCTAATTGGAGACCAATTTTTTAAAGAACCAACTAAAAGTCTTTAATCTTTTAATTTTCAAGTCCCGAAGGTGGTCTTAAATTGGAGGGCAAACTATAGCTGCTTTTGATGTACAACTTTTTTATTGCTTTAAATTTAGTCTCTAATATTTGAAAAACTTCTGCTGTAATGATTCTTATTATTAGACAACTTTATAATTGACTCTAAAAAGATTGATTTCATAATTAACCCTTTGAGGTTCTGACCCGTATCTCATACGGGATAAATTTGAGTCTCAGGATGCTAGGCCCATAAAAAAAAATTGGCAATTTTTTTTTTTTTTTTTTTTAGTGAGTGATGTACTTGAATAGTCTAGGATACCGGGATGAGAATAACAATTCATAAATATTGTTTTCATAATAAATAAACCTGAATACGATTCTGAGTAAAGATTTTTACTAGAAACTTCTAGCAGTGCAACCAGTAT